CCTGAACTTCTAGAAACATAAGCCGAGAGCAGTGGCTTCCAAAGCCCTTGCTTAAAGCCCTGCCACCACACCGTCTGCATCCTCCAGCAAAATCCAAGCACTTCAAAGATCTGACAGGCACCAGAGGCACCCCCAAGCCTGGCCCCAGCCACCCCTCTCTGAGCTCTGGAACCCAGCACCCACCGCCTTCCTTCTCCTCAGGTGTCAGCAATCGGCTCCCTCCCCAGTCTGAAGCCCCCTGAGGGCAGACACCTGTGCAGGAAATCAGGCCGCAAGGTGAGTGCAGGAACAAGTGGGTGGACATACTTCTAAAAGGAGGGTCACTAAGTTCTCTCAAGCAAAGAAAACTAAAGTCCTAAAGGGCAAATATATTCCTAAAAGTCACCAGGCAGATAAAGGCTCCATCTAAGGGTCAAAGTCAAGTCTGAGCCCAAAGTTGGGCTTCCCCCACTTCGCAGTGCCTGGGAAAGCCTGCGGCGCTAGCCAGCGTGACACCCCCTAATAAACAAAACACATTAACACCAGGAGGAACGGAATGACACCAGGCACACAGCTTACAAACAAGAGGCACATTAATAACAAGGTCCAAAAATACCACAATAACTGGGAACTGACATCTGTGGTCCGAGAGCCTCGGAGGGTGAGACCTGCTCAGATGGGAACAAAACCAGATTCACAGAGTCCGAAAGAGGCTGTAGATTTAAAATCAGAGGCTCAGCCCTTCTGTGCTCAGAGGAACCAGGTAACGTCACAAGTAAGACTGGCCGGGGCGGCGTGAGGGCGGCGGGCAGAGCCAGCCCAGAATGAAGGCTCTTCCTCAATGTTTTGAGGCAACAGACCCTATGGAAATATTGTTGCTCCCCAAGTGCAGAAATAATACACCTCTGCGCCCAGAGCAGAAGGGCCGAGGTGCAGCCAATGTGGCGAGCAGCTCCCAAGACTAAGCACCCCGGGGCCCCCGCCTGGAGCAGGGCTTCAGGCCCCAGGAGGACTGAGGGGCTCACAGACCTTCTTTAAACGTCCCAGCAGTCGCCGGTCCCACGGGAGCAGGTGGGGGAGACTGAAAGTGACTGTGGTCTGGGGCACGCAGGTGAGTCTGAACACTGGCTGGAAGGGGCAGGGCTCAGGCAGGAGTCCTGCCCCGGGACATCGCAGGCGCAATGTCCTTTAAAGACTCGAGTGAGGAGATTATTACTCAGCAGGGACGAAATACAGGAGATCCGCAAAGCACAGCTACTTCTCCCGCTGGAGGCAAAGGAGATCAGGCCGAAGTGCAAGGGACGTCCAGGAGAAGCAAGGACCCCACTTGCTGCCTCTGACACTTGGGGCCACGCGTACCGGGACGCCAGGGAGACCTTCCCGAAGGAAGGACGGAACGCACAAGTGGCCCGGGGCGCCGCTCAGCCCCTCGCTGCAGAGTGCCCCAACCCACCAAAAAAACGTTTTGAGCGATCTGGAAGCAGATTCTTCCAGAGCTTGGGGACAAGAACCCAGCCAGCCGCGCCTGGCCCTCGCCTGTGAGACCCCGCAGCGTCGCCGAAACAGGGCTGCGGCGCGACAAAGGACGGCCGGGTGGAGGCCAGGTTGGCTGCCTGTGGGCTCTCACCTGCCCGCCCACACAACCACAGCCCACTCAGGCTCAGGCAACAACAGGGCGTAAACGGGAACCAGAATTCGGGGGCCCAAGGCCGCGTTCTCACCCAGAGTCCAGACGTCCCAGCGCAGGGCTGCGCGTTCAAGATGGCGCCGCCCGGTCCACGCGCCCCGAGCCGAGGCCCGAGCGAGCGCGGGTCTGCGAGGGCGCGGGCGGCCACGGGCGGCGCACTGGACGGCTGCAGGGCCACGTGTTGATTCCTCCGACAGCCAGCGTGCTGTGTACCCCGAAGGCCTGCGGGCCCTGGGGCAGCGTGGGAGGGAGCGCGCCCCACAACCACCACAGCGAGGAGAGAGCGCCCGCGGCACTGCTGGGGGCGGCCTGGGCGCGCGC